TATCACTAAGTGATGCAAATTATCCCAACCCTGGTCATATCTATCACTAAGCGATACAATTTATCCCAACCCTGGTCATATCTGTCACTAAGTGATACAATTTATATCAAACCTGGTCATATTTTGCTGTAAATGATCTGGCTGAAACTTAACTAGGGGTTAAAGATCAAACAGTGATCAAATTGACCAGTTAATAGAAAATGAGTTATAAATGTATAACTATCAAGGGTAACATGATGTTCTTATGTTCTCGTTGGTGTTTAAGTATCCAAGAAGCAAATCGAATGTTAACACTGAGTATTCATGAGCAAAGTTTTATGAATTATAGATAATAACTTGCATATAAAGAACTTTAATAGTTCAGAGTGTGAAAGAACAAAAGTTAATGATTCTGAATGATATAAACTGTGTCTACGTGCCAGTTGAAAGGTTGTTGACCGACTTGTTTCTTTGTTGCAGGATCACCACTGTTCTGAGCTGTCACTAAAGGCAGCTAAGTTACGACGACATCAGGCCCATAGTTCAGGCTCCACGGCAAGCACAAAACCTCACACTGTACCAGCTCTGGTATATCCGGGGGATGCCGCCTGGCAGGCCATACGCCGCTTCACACCTAAACCGCCCTATCCCGAATTTGTGGTAAGTCAGCAGAATGTGTCGAATTTATAGATAAAAATACAGTAAAACCCCACTTCCTCGAACTCTGTTTACTTGAATACCCATAATTTGTCGAACAATTTGTTTGGTCCCAACCGAGTTCATACATATTCTTTGTAAAGTTACCACGGATTAGTCAAACTGTTATTCCTCAAATACCCCGTATTCCTTGAACAAAACTTTGTCCCCGACTCTTCATAGTCATAGTAATAATCCTATTTATTCATCGAACAAGTGTGACCTGTCACGCCCGACAGATATTTCAACTGTGTATCACAGGAATTGGCACTGGCGTCAACATGCCTCAAGGCAAAGGCTGCGGTCCACGCTCATTGTGCTCATACAGGTGTTGGCTGGACATCCGATAATTAGAGGATTAACGGCAGTATCGTTACCCTGTTGTAGCTGCATTATCATTTTGTATGCATATTAAAAAAAAATCCAGACAATGTTTTGACATCGATGATTTGGCGGAAGTGTTAGTTTACTTGGTGTGTAATACTATATTTCGGCATGCAAAATTAATCCAAAATCACAAAGTGGAATCCAATCAACTTTAAGATATTCAAACTTGAATATGTTGTGATTGTTAATTTCGTTATCAATCATCATTATGATAACAAGGATTCAAGATTTTCTTCATTTTAAAATGATCGAATTTCGTTATCAATTATCATTATGATGACAAGGATTAAAGATTTTCTTCATTTTAAAATGATCGAAGAGTTCATTTCATTTTGATATTTTGTAAAATTAACGTAGCCGAGTACAGAATGGCGACAAACCGACAAGTAATGTTACACAAGGCAGCTTTTAATTTTATTTACCTTTTTAATACCGGTTGCTATACGTTTTCATTGTTTAGCTATTTTAAATCTTATTAAATGCTGTCATCTTGATTAAACATCTTATTTCTTTTATCATCTACTATCTGCGATAGTTGCAGTGCTCGTACTGTCTGTTGTCCCACATGATGAAAAAATGAATATGTCGGTCAAACTTTGGATTTGTCGAATACCATGTATTCTTTGAACTATTGATCTGGACCCTACGAGTTTGAGTAAACAGAGTTTTACTGTATGACAATTCACAAAGTTATGAAGAAAGGATTTTTCAATCAAAGAAGACGTAAACACTTGAGATTTTCTCAAGATTTTTACTCTTGCTTCGACACCTGGTAGCCTTATGCATCTGTGTGACTGTGTATTTGTCCATCGAATTGGTCTCAAGTTGATTTTCTGCTCTCAGTCATGCAGCTTCATCTTATGAAAGTGAACTTTTTCACTTCCATATTTTTAGTCTGTTTTGGGGAAAACTGGATTCATTAAAAATCATGAATTAATATCCCCTCGCAATGAAAGTTTGAGAGGATTAAAGATTCCGCCCATATGTACGCATGTTACACTCTTTGTCATCACTCTAGCGACTTCATTCTTCAACGAAATTTCATGAAACTTCATGCAAGTGTTAATTATGACAATACCTTGAACTAGTTTTCATTTCGGGTTTCTATGTTTCAGGTCAAGGTCACTGTTACTATTTTTAGAAAAGCTTTGTGGAACAATTCCGCATTTTAGGTTACTGCATTAACAGTCAAGATCACTGTTACTATTTTAGAAAAAAACTTACACATGTCACAATGTGTGAATGCGAGGGGATTTGTATCACTTGTGATGTCTTGTTTTATATCTGTATTATCTGCTAAAAATTAATGGGGGGGGGGGTCATTGTTCATTGATGTTCTGTAAGAAAACATTATATTTTCTGAGCTATATTATTGATTGCCTGTTTATTTATATTTGTAGGAACAAAGAGAAGGTCCAGTTACCAAACATATAAGACTCACCGCAGCTTTAGTACTCAGGAATCTAGCCAGATACTCTTCCCTTGGAAGGAGGTCAGTAGTGAGGTCTTGCTGATATGTCCCACTGTTACTGCTCTCCATGACTAAGCATCTTGTCCAATCCATTTCATTATTTGTTTGGGCTATTCAAAATATATGGAGCTGGGCAAGACACATATTTGCAACCCCTTAGAACCACAATACGGGTTTCTTTACTGTGAGATATCTTTAATTTTAATGCTGACTTAATAAAATGGAGTAACACCTGTACCAGGGCTATTCCTTGAGCAGAAATGTGTACATGAGTTGTGTCTCCTTAACAATTTAACATTTGAAAACCAAGGTGTTTGACACAGAAATAGTGACGATCCTTTTTATCTGTTCGACTGTCTGAAAGATTCAAGAGTATTCGGGATCTGATCCTTTGTTAAGAAAGGAGGATGTAACTAATTATCAGTTTTTATAATAAAAACTAGAAAAAGTTTGGCCTTAAAACTTGCCCACAGTTTTATAAACATCTTACATTGAGGAGCTCCTGGAATCTGATGGAGAGAATATCAATTTGTTATAAATAATATTTACAGACACGTTTAGGATCAAATTATTTTGTTAAAAATTTATTTCATTTGTATATATTGAAGGCATAGTTTTATGTATAATGAATGTTCTGTATGTGACTAGAAAATTCATCCTTAAGTATTAAGAGAGCCCTGCAATGTTCAGGAAATTTATGAAACTTATTCCAGTTTCCCTTTGTTGATGTTCTACTGGTTGACTGAAACGCAAGATAAAAATTGTACAGCAAGGAATGCATACTTACCACGTTTTTTGACATTTCCATGGGGGAGATTACGTGTGCTCAGAACTAAAAACAGATAAAATGTGTGTATGTACAACCAAGGGGGAAAATGACACTTTTTAGCCGACATCTTTTTAGCTGTATCATCAGATCTTAGGAAATGGGAATAGTTTAGCAATTCACTGGTTGAAAATGCTCAATTTTAGGGTCCAAAGTTGGAAGTCTCCCTCCTAAAAGGGGAGAGTTGCCAAGTATGGGAATGGTTTCACATAATGATATTTGACTTTGATATGAGTGGAAATTTGTTTTTGTAAAGTTTGTTATCAATATGGTATAATCCATAAATTCCTTTTCATATTTAAAACAACACTATTATTAATTGCATGCATTATTGTTTGTTCATACTGTATTAAGAAAAATTCATTCCACTGATTACAGTTTAATCAAGAAGCATGAGCGCCACATCAACCACACAGCAATGAGTGCCCTGGAATCCTCCAATGCTCTAGCCAACTGCCTTTGGGAGATCATCAATCAGCACTGACACATGCCCTGTTGTACACATCATCCTCATCACAGACCAAACTTCACCAACCCACAAACCAGTCTCGCAGCTTAATGTGTGGTCACCCACACGATCGTTAGTTGTGGTCACCAGCCATCATTCATTCATTTTCGGTCATCCACTACTTGTTGTCAAAGGAACAATATAAAGCTACCCAGCCACGCGTGGCTCATGCATTGCCATTGATGATTTGTTGTGTATTTGTGTCGTGACCGGCACAGCTGACTTCTCATAGTTCACCATGGCTGTATACCATGTGTTCATTTTTGTATGTTTGTGAGATACCAGGTGATCCTGTTATTAATTATTGTATAAATGTTTCCATATGTTGTCCATGTGCTGAAGAGAGAATCATATGTTACAGAAATGAAAGTCCAACAGAGATAAATGTATTTAATATATTGTTAAACTGGGGAGTATGATGAATCTATTTTTCTTAAGTGTGGCTAGCTTGTAATAAATTCCTTTTTTTTTCTTTTTTTTTTTGCATATTTAATTACCTTGGTCGTTGAAAGAAAATATATGATTATAAATATATACAGGAGGGTTCATTCCTTGGAGCTGTAATGTTTAATTTATGTTTAGATATAGTTTCAATGAAATGTTTGTTTTGTAGATGAAACGTTGAAAATGTAACTTGATATCAATTCTATTATTTATGAAGCAAATGAAATTTTTTCTCAACCCACAAAATTCATGTCATTAAACCTGTAGTACATTTTTTCAATTTCACAACCAAAAGAATGTGTCATTGTTTCAAATATAAGTTTTAAATAAAAATCTTTCTGTATCTGTTGCTTTCCGTTACTATTTTGTTAATTGCTGACGTCATGCTGGAGTCAGTTATTAGTCTTTAACATCAGAATTCTTACAGGTTCAAGCTACAAATCAAATTTTCAAATTAAAAGTTTCTCAAACAATGTACATACTGTTTTTGTCTCTGTTGATTTTGTCATGCAGCGGTCATTGTGAATGTCAGCATGTATGATTTTATATCTTTATAATTATTCATAGCTTTTGGGGTTTTGGGGGGGGGGGGGGGAATCATAAATGAATATTTTCCGCCATCTGTTATGGAGAAATGGTGGTATAGTTTCACACTCTAGATTGCAGTTGATATTGAAATCGATTGATTTTAAATTGATGTTGACATATAAATATCACAAAGGCAGAATGACCCGGGGTACATTAGAAGAATTTTCCCCTACCTTGAGGATGTGACAGAGAATTTTTTAAGAAATCTCAAATCCTCAGGGTGATTAATTTGGTTTTGAGGGTTAGAAAACTACATAATCACTCTTAGAGCTAAAGATTGCTATTTAACTTCAAGGCAGGGGTTATTATTTTTCTCCCATCCTGTACCCTGGTCCCTAGTGACTGCTTGCAAAACCAAGGTGGCCGATAAGTAGCCATCTTGAATTTGAAAGTTAAAGTTTGTTAGCGGTATTTCTCAAAAAGTACTTGAGGTATCTTTCTCAAATTTCACATGAAGGTTCCCAAGCATATCAAATTTTGGGACAGAGATGGCCGACAGGCAGCAATCTTGAATTTGGGAGTTAAAAGTTTGTTATTGCATTTGTCTTGGTTCTTAGTTATGCAACAGATCATAAAGATAAGAGAAAAGATCGAATTGACATAGAACGTTTGGGAACTCCTGTCCAGTTTAATTTTTCAAATTCCAAAAAGCTTCCAGTTGTAAAAATGTCATCTGAAAAAGTTAATTACATTGTAAAGGGTTGCTGTGTGAAATTCGAAATTTGGTGTGTACATTCATACTGACAAGTATAAGGCTATCCCCAAACTCATACCTGCATCTTTATAATAAAGCTGCTTTTTTTGTTTATTGGTTTCAAATAAATGACCTTGACCTACTTTCAAGGTCACAAGTTAAATATGTAAACACCTTTAAAAGTAAACCTTTTCTGAATAACCAGGAGGCCCAGAGTACTGATATTTGGCCAGTAGATTACTGGCATGAAGTGCTATAAACTTTCCTCAAATTAATTACCTTAACCTACTTTCAAAGTCACAAGGGTTAAATGTATCAAAAAAACATATTTAAACATCTTCTGAATAACAAGAGACAGCAATGATATTTGGCTAGCAGGTACCTGTGGTGGAGTGCTATGAAGGTTCTTCAAATGAATTGCTTTTACCTATGTTCAAGGTCAAAGGGATCAGATATGTAAAAACCTTTAAAAACAAATCTGGATACTAAACCAAGGGGCTCCGGGTGATAATAGTCCAATAAGTAAAAAGGATGTAGTGCTGTGAAGTTTCCTCAACTGCATGACATTGATACATATGTTGAAGGTCATCTGGATCAAATATGTTCAAACTTTTGAACAATTTTTTCCCAACTAACTATGTTATAGGGTATCTTGGACGGAGTGATATAAGCATTCCTCAAATAAATTACCTGACCTATTTTCATGATCACAGGCATCAAATAATAATAATAAAAAAAATAAACAACTCTTGAATAACAAGGATGGCCTTGTGATGATAGGTGGCAAATAGGTACCTGGTATGGAGTGCTATACTATATTATATATTGATATGATTTCAACCAAATTTGATGTGCAGTTTCCCTGATTGACTTTGCCAGCGTCTGCAATTCATGCTTGTGTAGTAGTGTCTATAAACATCCAACTTCTGTAGAAACTGGAGGGTTTCCAGCATGTTTGTTAGGATTATCTAGACTATTGAAGATAGAAGAACAAAATTAAATATAACATTAGGGTGTCGCAATACACCAAGAGTGTATAACGATATACTGCAATACAGAATGAATATATTGCGATACATATCCCGATATATTGTCATAGGAATGATGTTTTTATTCTCGTAAACTGGTTACAGTGTAGATAATTATATACATATATATAGTACAGTTTACATATAAATCATGGTGTTAATGGCCAGTGTTAATTCGCTCATTTATGTGCTTAAGGAATTTTATAAGTGAAATTAATTCTTCATTATTGACATAATTGAATAATGTATTAAACGTGAAAGTACTAGGACTTTCAAAATGATATCTCGTCATTTCATTTAGGTCACAAAAAGTACATTTTCTATCTTCTCTTGGAATGTTATTCTATCTACCACATTCAATCGGAAATTTTACATTACAAATTCTTAAATTTACAATAAACATTTGCTAGTGTTGGAGGGAGATCTATCGGGTATTTTTCGAATACTAAATCATTTAAAAAAAATCTGTAATTGGTCCCTTTAGGTGAATTGAAAACATCGCTTCTCCAATTATTAATGAATTTATCTTTGAGTGTATGGAAAACTGTATTTTTCAACCATTGGGTACTTTTGAAGAGATTGATTTGACCAACTTTCGAAGTCACAGGTAAATAGAACTATTTTAAGAATTTGGACAACGAGAAAACATTCCGTACCTATTTTTAGTATGACATGTATCCGATGGACAAGAAAAATAGAGCACCAAAATGTCGATGAATTTAGACAATTACAGCAGTATTAAGCTGCAGATGTACAAGACATGGGGACAACAGACCGAGGAGCACCGACTACTAAATAGAATGGTACCTCTATCATGTACACACGCGACACCGTTTCAAGTGTTAATCGTACATACAGTCACTTGCTGTCCAGTAATGATCCAGAATAAACCACGCTATAGTAGTTTCCGTTTTTAACTGTCTTGACAGTGGGTTTCTGGAATAATACAAGTCTACGTATTCAGTGATATTGGAAAACTGCTCCGCGTACTGAGGTTTTTGAAATCTAGAGAATGAAAAACAAAGTCAGAAATATTCTTTTTTTCTCTACGTTTATTAAAAAAAGATGAGAACACGACAATAATAAATTTGATTTATTCCTTTCAAAGTTAGGATGTCATGATAGACATAATGCTTGACACACATCATCTAGAAGGCCGAGTTATTTCCCCTGGAACTAGATCACATGCATTCGGATATCGGTACCCAGCGGTACCAAGGAGGTACTGCCTGAATGTACCAGTACTAACGATATATAAGAATATTGAAAAAACACCTCTGTAGTATGTAATAGACCTTATAACACTTGCTCACAATGACAAATTGATCACAACAGGTAATGTAAACACTAGCCGATATACAACATAAACTTAATTAATGTGGAGGACTGCTTCTTTATCAGTGTTCTAAGATAATGGTAAGACCGAACGCATCAATCTCGTTAAACTATGACACACGTTCAGGTTTAGTTTTTTTAACATCTTGTACGACCTCGTATGTTGCTACATAAGAACCGTAACACATTTCATCTTTCGTGACCTCCATGTCTGTTTCTTTGCCTAATCAACATGTAAGGACGTATACGTAATAGTATTGCTAAATACCAAATCGACACCAGGTAATATTGTTTTGTGGTTCGTTTGATCATATTAAACTTCCTCATAAAAGGTGTATACATTGAATTAAATAAGTAAATGGTCTATATTAAAGGTAATAAAAAAACATCATGTGTTAAAGAAACGAAAATCATTTCGTTACATCCCGTAGGTTTAAAACATATAAGGGCTATCAAATTTGTTCAAATGAATGACCTAGACAACGTTCAAGGTTACTTGGATCAAATATGTTCGAAATCTTGAAATGGTCACAGGGGTCAAATGTTTAAAAAAAAAAATAACAGTTTCTATTGAATAGTCAGTTATCATAGGTATTGGTGTTAACACTTTGTTTACTCAATATAACATATTTGACCTTGGTCTACTTTTAAGGTTACAGGTGTGAGATTAATTGCAAGTGAGAGATGCAGGCCAACTAGGCCATTGTGTTTCCAATGAAGGAAAATGTACGTGACATTGAGGATCATAAAACACGACGAGTTAACTATTATATTGAGATTATTTATAGAATTCGAACACATACATGTCATCATCAACAGTAAACACTGGCCTTATGCTTAAGATTATATGCTCTTCTGTTGGAAATATAATCTATGATATTTTTAGCTCACCTGGTCCAAAGGACCAAGGTGAGCTTATGCCGTACCGTGGCGGCCGTCGTCCGTCCGTCAACAATTTCTTTAAACGACTTCCTCTTCTTAACCACCGATTGGAATTTAACTAAATTTGATTGTAAGCATCCTTAGGTGGTGGGGAATCAAAATTGTACAAATGGGGGGGCTGCCCCCCCAGGGGGCTGAGGGGTGAGGCCAAAAAGGGTTATTTGGCTATATTGCTTTAAGCGACTTCTTCTCTGGAACTAAGAAATGGATATCAACCATATTTTACTGGAAGCATCCCTAGGTGGGGGGGATTCAAAATTGTACAAATGGAGTGGCTGACCCCCCAGGGGGCTGAGGGGTGAGGCCAAAAAGGGTTATTTGGCTATATTCCTTTAAGTGACTTCTTCTTTGGAACTAAGCGATGCATATTAACCATATTAGACTGGAAGCATCCCTATGTGGTGGGGATTCAAAATTGTACAAATGGTGTGGCTGACCCCCCAGGGGGCTGAGGGGCGGGGCCAAAAAGGGTTATTTGGCTATATTCCTTTAAGCGACTTCTTCTTTGGAACTAAGCGATGCATATCAACCATATTAGACTGGAAGCATCCCTAGGTGGTGGGGATTCAAAATTGTACAAATGGTGTGGCTGACCCCCCAGGGGGCTGAGGGGTGAGGCCAAAAAGGGTTATTTGGCTATATTGCTTTAAGCGACTTCTTCTCTGGAACTAAGTGATGGATATCAACCATATAAAACTGGAAGCATCCCTAGGTGGTGGGGATTCAAAATTGTACAAATGGTGGGGCTGAGGGCAGGGCCAACAGGGGGCAATTTGGCTAGATTACTATAAACGACTTCTTCTGTAAAACTATGCCATGGATATCAATCATATTTGGTCAGAAGCATTCATGGGAGGCAGGGATTCAAAACTGTACAAATGGTGGGGCTGACCCCCCGGGCTAAGGGGTGGGGCCAAAAAAAAGTGTATTGCCTGGAAATGGTTGAGATCCCCACCATATAACCACATATACAATTGCTGAGTATAAAGAGAAGAATGCACATTTGCTTCCAGGATGGCCCTAGGGTCTGGCCCCACCCTTGGAAACATAGTCCTTGGGCCATAACTTTAAAACGGCTGAGATCCCCACTCAAAAACTATATATACAAATGCTGGGCATAAAGAGACGAATGCAGTCACAATATTAGAATAGACCCTGGGGTCTGACCGAACCCCTAGGGACCTAGTTTCTTAGTCACAGCTTGGAAACAGTTGAGATCCCCACCCTATAACCATATAGACAATTGCCGATTACAAAGAGATGAATGCACATATGCTTCCAGGATGGCCTTGGGGACTGCCCCACCCTTGGAGACTTAACCCCTGGGTCATAACTTTGAAATGGTTAAGATCCCCACCCCAAAACTATATATACAATTGTTGGGCATAAAGAGACAAATGCAGTCATGATATTAGAATTGATCCTGGGGTCTGGCCACAACCGTAGGGACCTAGTTTCTGAGTCACAACTTGGAAACAGTTGAGATCCCCACCCCATAACCATGCATAAAATTGCTGGGCATGACAAATTGAATACAGATATATATGCTACAAGGATTGGCCTTTGGGTCTGGCATATTCCCTTGGATCTCATTTGGAGAATATTCTGCCATGATTGCTTAGATATCCAGGTGAGCGATACAGGTCCTATGGGCCTCTTGTTTATATTTCAACGATATTTTTCATATAAATCACTCAAATGTACGTGTATAAATCAAGTTGTGTAAATCAACCGAACTAAAACGAAAACAACATTAAATTATTTTTTCATACATTTCATAGTGATTCTTTGTGCTGGTCATTGACGAATTTAAAAATATATATGTACTTTATCTATGACCAGCACTTAATTAAGGTTGTACACCTCTGTCAGTTCATGATACCACGTGACAAATTAAAATCTGCATTAGCAACGGTCAACGTCGTTCAACTGATGTGAATTCCAGTTGATTCGTGCGGGGCCCTCTGATAGGCGTACTCTGTTGGACGGTCTATGTGTCCGACACAGGGGACACAGCACAGCTGCAGCTGGTCGTCAGTTGGATCCAGTTCCAGTCGAATGTCGCGGAAGGAGAGAGCCGTACCAGGGCCATCACGAATGACTTCTTAGGCAGACACTGAGACGCATATCTGTAGACAGAAAATATCACCGATCAGGGTTATAGAGTAGAATATATTATGGACATCAGGCAATATAAACTTACAGCATTCAGTTGGCATTCATATAATCTATGAATGCCATAACTCGATTGTTCATGTCATCATTATTATGATGTTATAATTGTAACGTTCGTGACGTAAAATGATAGTTTGATATTTTAATATTAAACTATAGTTTATATACAATGAGTTTGCCTTGCTGCCTATNGACTAGTGACGTATACGAGGTTTATTCGTAGGACTAGTTGCGTAGTCTAGGTTTAAATGTAGAACTAGTGACGTACGTAGACAAAGTTTAGTTGTAGGATAAGTGACGTAGACAATTATAAACAGCAGGACTAGTGACGTAGTTCTACATTTAAACGTTGTCTACGTCACTGATCCAACAACTAAACTTTGTCTATGCCGAACATTGTCGCAAGAAAAACTACACTCGTACGACAACAATTTGCTATATAATTTTCCAGTATATATCAAGGTAAAAAAAACTACCAATTTCATGATTGCTAATTTCAAGTAAATAAAACAAAATAAGTTCGGCTATCACTGATGTCTTTATCTATAAAAACGTATACTTCGGAGGCACGCTAGCGCACTCTCGTGCATTGCGGGTATAGACGTAGTTCGGTGTTAATAGAAGAGCGTCTACGGTGAACTGCTTTCTGACATGCACCCCAATCGAAACTCGGTGTATAAACGTAGAATACCCACAAAGCAGAATTTATTATCGCTGTTCTTGCTAATGAAAATGGAAGTAAGGTATGTAAGGACGGTACGGCCACGTCCAGTGACTTATTAGACACTTTCTAACGTCAACGAGAGGCCAATGACACAAACACGCGTCATCAGTTCAGCACGTTCCTCTATATGTCCGAGGGTGTGACGTCTGTGTTTAAGAATAACCGGATTTTAGGCTCGGCAGAACACTTGCCTGTTAAATGTAATGGTTTAATAACACTGAGTTAGGTGCGACAATTGTCGAGAACAAGAAATACGAGCTTTGCCATGCCACTTCGGGAGGAAATGCAGCGCCATATGACCTTGAATATCCGGGTTTGAACTATGTTTGACATTGACTAACGAACAAATAAACACCAAAGTCTCTGGTATGATCAGTGTCGAAGAAGACGAAAATGTCAGGTTTTTTGTAAGGAAAAGTATTTGATATTTAAAAGGCCAGAGCGTGTTGCAAATGTATTCACACAGGCTACTTAACGTGGCGACGAAAGAGAGCGTGGGCGGATCAGCGTTCTGTAATGGAAGATCCTGGACCATTACGTCTCAGTGGTGACACTGCAATTTGTCAGGTCAGAATAAAGGAACGGACTGACTAGCCAATGGACATAACATTTTTTTCTAGTAATTTTCGTTATTTTTAGTAAACTAAGCTTTGCTTATCAACTATGCATTTTAGGTATGTAGATCCGAATTTAGTTTCAAGCAACTTCGTTCTTGGCTAGTATCATTTGTCGGTTGCTATCGCTTTGTCTGTCGGTTAGTATGGCTTACCGGTTTGTACAACATTTCGGTTAATATCACATACTGGTAAGTACACTATATCGGTTAATATCACTTATCATTCAACAAGTCAAAGAGATATATATCCCATTCCACCCTTATATTACTTAAGGTATAACCTTACCAAATAATTTGTTGGTGTACATCTAATAAAGTCGTAGCCTAATTGTTGCGTCATCTGTGATCTAAAAATGTAGCTTTTGATACGAGTGTGAATTCCGAAAAATCACTGTTACATTTATTACAACAACAACAAAAAAGAAGAAGAAAATAGACGGCATACAATTTGAAGTAATAGCTAACTTTTAATACATATATAAAAAAAATGTCTGATATTGAAATATTTCAAAAATGGTAAATATCAGGATTGAAGTTATTTCAATAATGATATTCATTATACACGCCATGGTTACCATTTCTGTGAAACGGCAAACGTCAATCGGAAACAATTCGGGTATTTCCGTCATAATTTGAATTTGACGTCACGTCATTAGTAGAAAAGTTTGATGGAAAGACCCGAACAGTTTTTGATTGAAAAACATTCTGATGTATTGGTTCATGCTATTATTGGATTATAATAGCATTTTTGGTTGGTAGGATTATCTAAGGGAAATATGGGAAATATTAAATATTTACATTTGCTCTGCATCCTTGCTTTGAGAAAGCAAATGTTGTTGTGAAACTACTTTTTTCTATTGTAACGTCATCAAACATGCTTATCGAACGATACCAATTAAACGTCATAATAACAAGTACGTTAACATTTGGATCAAAGAATGGGGGATGGGGGTTGGAGTTATTACATACCAAAGAGAGTAGGGCTTAGCATACCAAAGAGGGGAGGGGTTAACATGCCAAAGAGGGGAGGGGTTAACATGCCAAAGAGGGGAGAGGTTAACATACCAAAGAGAGTAGGGGTATTTACATACCAAAGAGAGTAGGGGTTAACATACCAAAGAGGGGAGGGCTTAGCATACCAAAGAGGGAGGGTTTACATACCAAAGAGGGGAGGGGTTAACATACCAATGAGGTGAGGGGTTATTAACATTTCTTCTGTAACCGATGTTCGTTTTACAATTCATACGATTCAAACAGTCATCTTGGTTGTTCGAGTTGTGTGGAGAAGAAGGAAGGGTGCATTAACTAAGAATAAAAAGAGGTAAGGACTATTGTCAGAGGAAAGAGGCTGATTGACGGAAAAAGAAAGGAATTTTTTATTTATGTATTAAAAAAAGGGGGATATTTTTTTCTGCCTGAGGAGTTTTTAGGATAAATGATTGACAGGTACAGTACGTACCTGCGGTTATTCACGCCTCGGCAGCAGTTGTTACAGCTGGGATTTTCTAGCTTCAGAATTTCTGTGTCACACGTGACGGTGTAGAACCACTGACGTCCTGAAATATCGACGCCCGTGGGCTGAAAAACCTCCACGTCTGAGTCGTTGATATCCTTAGCCTCATAGATAAGGCGCCAGTCTGTGGTATACGGACACGCAGGCTGGGCCATCCCGGGGACAAATGAACCGTCTCTTTTCTGCAAAAAAAGATGATTTAATATGAAAATGACCAATGGTGACATACTAAGAGTATTGTGTAAAGGTGTGAGATAAACGGGAGTATGACGTAGGGAATTATACAGGTGTGGAATAGTGGTAGTATGACGTAGGGTATTATACAGGTATGAGATAAATGGGAGTATGACGTAGGGAATTATACAGGTGTGGGATAGATGGTAGTATGACGTAGGGTATTGTTTACAGATGTAAAATAAACGGTAGTTTGATGTAGTTTATTGTATACAGGTGTGAGATAAACGGTGGTATGACGTAAGCTATTGTGTACAGGCGTGGGATAGACGGAAGGATGACGTTTGGTTTTGTGTACAGGTGGGGGATAGAGGGTAGTATGACATAGTGTATTATACAGGTGTAGGATAGAGGGGAGCATGATGTAGTGTATTATAAGGTGTGATAAAGAGGGTTGTATGACGTAGGGTATTATACAGGCATGGGATAGAGGGTAGTATGACATAGGGTATTATACAGGTGTAGGTTAGAGGGTAGCATGATGTAATGTATTATAAGGTGTGATAAAGAGGGTTGTATGACGTAGGGTATTATACAGGTGTGGAATAGAGGGTAGTATGACGTAGGGTATTATACAGGTGTGAGAAAGATGGAAGTATGACGTAGGGTATTTACAGATGTGAAATAAACGTTAGTTTGATGTAGTTTATTGTATACAGGTGTGAGATAGACGGTGGTATGACGTAAGCTATTGTGTACAGGCGTGGGATAGACGGAAGTATGACGTTTGGTTTTGTGTACAGGTGTGGGATAGAGGGTAGTATGACATAGGGTATTATACAGGTGTAGGATAGAGGGTAGCATGATGTAGTGTATTATAAGGTGTGATAAAGAGGGTTGTATGACGTAGGGTATTATACAGGTGTGGAATAGAGGGTAGTATGACGTAGGGTATTATACAGGTGTTGGATAGAGAGTAGTATGACGTAGGGTATTATACAGGTGTGGGATAGACGGTAGTATGACCAAGGGTATTATACAGGTGTTGGATAGAGGGTAGTATGACGTAGGGTATTATACAGGTGTGGGATAGAGGGTAGTATGACGTAGGGTATTATACAGGCATGGGATAGAGGGTAGTATGACATAGGGTATTATACAGGTGTGGGATAGAGGGTAGTATGATGTAGTGTATTATACAGGTGTGATATAGAGGGTTGTATGACGTAAGGTATTATACAGGTGTGATATAGACGGTAGTATGACATAGGGTATTATACAGATGTGGGATAGAGGGTTGTATGATGAAGGGTATTATACACCTGTGATATAGAGGGTTGTATGACGTAGGGTATTATACAGGTGTTGGATAGAGGGTAGTATGACGTGGGGTATTATACAGGTGTGGGATAGAGGGTAGTATGACGTAGGGTATTATACAGGTGTGGGATAGACAGTATTATGACGTAGGGTATTATACATGTGTGGGATAGATGGTTGTATGACGAAGGGTATTATACAGGTTACGGATAGAGGGTAGTATGACGTAGGGTATTATACAGGTGTGGGATAGAGGGTAGTATGACGAAGGGTATTATACATGTATGGGATAGAGGGAAGTATGACGAAGTGTATCATACAGATGTGAGATAGACGGTATTATAACGTGGGGTATTATACAGTTGTGGGATAGAGGGTAGGATGACCTAGGGTATTACAAAGGTGTGGGATAGAGGGAAGTATGACGTAGTGTATTATACAGGTGTGGAATAGAGGGTAGTACGACATAGGGTACTATACCGGTGCGGGATAGATGCTAGTATGACGTAGTGAATTATACAGGTGTGGGAAAGAGGGTAGTATGACATAGGGTATTATACATGTATGGGGTAGAAGGTAATATGACGAAGGGTATTATACAGGTGCTGGATAGAGGGTAGTATGACATAGGGTATTACACATTTGTGAGATAGAAGGTAGTATGACGTAGGGTATTATACAGGCGTGGGATAGACGGTATTATTAAACCTCTACTTTATTTACTCTATATAAAAGTAATTGGTTAAATCGAATATATCCCCACTTTAGCCTGCCTGTGTTTTAGTCCTGTGTGTTAGTCTTGGAACTAAAACACACCTACACTCGGGTGTTTCCGCCGAGCCAATCAGGAGAGTGGTGGGTGGAGCTTATTACCGAACTCGGAAGCGACGCACGAGGTAAGGGAGCTTGCTACCGAACTCGGAAGGATTTGGCTCCAAAAGGGTAGTTGGGACGTGAAGCTATACAGCTTATGGTTTACAAATATTTTTTAGTTAAAACTATCTCTCCAGTGTGTATCGGTATAATAAAACGGTAAAAGTATGGGATTGAGGGATATAGCAAGTTTATGGTATCCCTTTATGGGACACCAGAAACTTGCTATATCCCTCAACCCCATACTTTAGCTGTAAAGTATGATGTAGGGTATTATACAGATGTGAGATAGGCGTTATTATGACGTAAGATTTTGTATAAAAATGTGAGATAGACGGTAGTATGACGTCAGATATTGTTCAGATGTGAGAAAGACGGTAAAATGACGTAAGATACTGTACAATTTTGAGATAGAATGAAGTATGACGTAAGATATTATACAGGCGTGCGACAGACTTTAGTATGACATAAGGTATTGAACAGTTTGAGATAGACGGAAGTATGCGAAAGGTATTGTACAGGTGTGAGATAGACGGAAGTATGACGTAGGGTATTGCTTACAGATGTGAAATAAACGGTAGTATGACGTAAGGTATTGTACATGTGTGAGAAAGATGGAAGTATGACGTAGGGAATTGTTTACAGATGTGAAATAAACGGTAGTTTGATGTAGTTTATTGTATACAGGTGTGAGATAGACGGTTGTTTGACGTAAGCTATTGTGTACAGGCGTGGGATAGACGGAAGTATGACGTTTGGTTTTGTGTGCAGGCGTGGGATAGAGGGTAGGATGACCTAGGGTATTACAAAGGTGTGGGATAGAGGGTACTATGACGTAGGGTATTAAACAGGTGTGGGGTAGAGGGTAGTATGACGTACGGTTTTATATAGGTGTGAGATAGATAGTAGTATGATGTAGGGTTTGGTAAACAGGCGCGAGATAGACGGATGTATATACGTAATGTATTGTAAACAGGTGGGAGTTAGACGGATGTTTTTACGTAATGTATTGTAAACAGGTGGGAGTTAGACGGATGTTTTTACGTAATGTATTGTAAACAGGTGTGAGTTAGATGGATGTTTATACGTAATGGATTGTATACAGGTGTGAGTTAGACGGATGTTTTTACGTAATGTATTGTAAACAGGTGTGAGCTAGACGGATGTTTATACGTAATGTATTGTATGGGTAGTATGACGTAGGGTTTTATATAGGTGTGAGATAGATAGTAGTATGATGTAGGGTATTATATAGGCGTGAGACAGATGGGAGTATGATATAGGGTAATGTAAACAGGTGTGAGATAGAGGGTAGTATGACGAAGGGGATTATACAGGAGTGGGATAGAGGGAAGTATGACGTAGGGTATTATATAGGCGTGAGACAGATGGGAGTATGATATAGGGTAATGTAAACAGGTGTGAGATAGAGGGTAGCATGATGTAGTGTATTATAAGGTGTGATAAAGAGGGTTGTATGACGTAGGGTATTAAACAGGTGTGGGATAGAGATTATACATGTATGGGGTAGAAGGTAATATGACGAAGGGTATTATACGGGGTACGGATAGAGGGTAGTATGATGTAGGGTATTATATAGGTGTGAGATAGATGGTAGTATGATGTAGGGTTTGGTAAACAGGTGCGAGATAGACGGATGTTTATACGTAATGTATTGTATACAGGTGTGAGTTTGACGGATGTAAATACGTAATGTATTGTAAACAGGTGTGAGTTAGACGGATGTTTATACGTAATGTATTGTATACAGGTGTGAGTTAGACGGATGTAAATACGTAATGTATTGTAAACAGGTGTGAGATAGACGGATGTATATACGTAATGTATTGTATACAGGTGTGAAATAGACGATAATAAGACGTGGGGCAAGTGTAAGACGTTAGACGGTTACCTGTGTATTTGGATACATCTGAGGAGGATGTGAGCCCACGTGCAGTCTCCGTTCCATGAGTACGGGATGATGTTTGAGGTATGAATAAATCCCGCGCAATCTCTCACTCCGGCTTTCTGGTTGTATGTAGTATATGGGTTGATGTATAAGATGCGCAAGTGCTGCAGATACGAAAAATAAAAACATCAATACGATATCACGATAACTTCAAATAAGTACGTACATGTATTTCCGACCCCTCGGGGGGAAAAAAGGTTCGCGTATATTTTTACCCTCGGACCAAGAACTATATTATTACTCTGTGGGACTAATAGGTACGCGTATATCTGACTCCTGGGGACCAATAGGTACGCGTATATCTGACTCCTGGGGACCAATAGGTACGCGTATATCTGACTCCTGGGGACCAATAGGTACGCGTATATCTGACTCCTGGGGACCAATAGGTACGAGTATATCTGACTCCTGGGGACCAATAGGTACGAGTATATCTGACTCCTGGGGACCAATAGGTACGAGTATATCTGACTCCTGGGGACCAATAGGTACGAGTATATCTGACTCCTGGGGACCAATAGGTACGAGTATATCTGACTCCTGGGGACCAATAGGTACGAGTATATCTGACTCCTGGGGACCAATAGGTACGAGTATATCTGACTCCTGGGGACCAATAGGTACGAGTATATCTGACTCCTGGGGACCAATAGGTACGAGTATATCTGACTCCTGGGGACCAATAGGTACGAGTATATCTGACTCCTGGGGACCAATAGGTACGAGTATATCTGACTCCTGGGGACCAATAGGTACGAGTATATCTGACTCCTGGGGACCAATAGGTACGAGTATATCTGACTCCTGGGGACCAATAGGTACGAGTATATCTGACTCCTGGGGACCAATAGGTACGAGTATATCTGACTCCTGGGGACCAATAGGTACGCGTATATCTGACTCCTTGGGAACAATAGGTACGCGTATATCTGACTCCTGGGGACCAATAGGTAAGAGTATATCTGACTCCTCGGGACCAATAGGTACGCGTATATCTGACTCCTGGGGACCAATAGGTACGAGTATATTTGACTCCTCGGGAGCAATAGGTACGCGTATATCTGACCTCTCTGATTTGTAAATACATTTAAACCTCTCCCCTCGGAATTAATGAAAGGTGTGTCTTTGACACCTCGAAACAATAGGTACGTATACCTCTGACCTCTCATAAAGGCAACTATTGTGACTTGGCTTAAAACTCCGATAAAGATCGGATAAATCTTGGATTACAACAAATGAAAGATTTTCATTTTTTCACCTATATGGCTTTGTGATGATTCAAATACTTTACTTGTTACTCATATTGTATCGGTCAATCCGCGAAATTAAATCGGTACAGCTAAAGTACCTACATATTTGAACAAATGAGAACGTCGTTGATACCAGTTATCGCCCGAATCATCACCGCCATTGTTAATTTGCTAGGCTATCCTTCACAACTTCGCTTGCTCTGTCAATCGATCATTTACCAGCGATCTTTTGTTAAAATCCACAGTTTCCACAGACAGTCTATACAGTATTTATACTCGATAATCAGATCAAAGTGATAGATCGCTATGTTACTATCGGTTATTAGATTAACGTATAGAATACAATTACGTGTACATTAACACATATTCACGGGAGGGGTTGATAGAAACAATTTAAACGTTTCCGAGTATTGTTCAATATATTTCATTTATTATTTTGAAATGTTTTATATCGGTGAAAAATAATCATTAAAATATTATTTCTGAGTATGAAATGTGTCTTCCTCCTTGATGACGATGGGACGATTTAGCAACGTTAAATATTACTGTATTAGTACAATATAGCTTCACATTTTGATTTAAATACAATATTGAATCTGTAATATCAAAGGTCTTATACAAAACTTATACAAAGCTTTATCAAATGATAACGTTGTAATATAGCTTGAACTTGAGTACTGATATATGAAATGAATTCTGTTTTCTAGCCTATGATAATTATGAAGGGGTGATTGGTTCAGTAATTTCATATAATATCCGCTCATTGAACAACATTAGCGTTTTTCGCTTGATTCCGAAACCTATTGTTTTATTTAATTATGAGATGAAGCTTAAATCCAAGATGGGAACCATTCTGTTACATCAGATCGGAGTAACAGTCACTTTCAACAGAGTGTTATAGGCATTCAAAGTATTTTTGTCATTTTGTCCAGATTTTTGAGGCATCAAACTCACATAACTGACTTTTCCTGCAAAGCATTTTTCTTATAATTCAAAACGTTATTCCACTGGAAAAAACTGTTTTTTACCGCTGGTAAGATAGTCCGATTTGAAATATATGTAATCTCAAAGTTTTACTTTGTACAATGTACGTATTAAATGTTTTTCAACGTTTCAAGACCGAGTAGTCCTCTATCGAGCTATGACTGGTACAATACCTTTTTGTAGTTTATTCTTTGCAAAAACCCATAAATCCTCAGAAATGGGCGTTCAAAAAATTGAAGCAACATTAATATATAAGAAAGTGGAATAGAAATTTCACAAAACTATTTGAACATATGTTCAAAATCAAATACTAATAAACAAATAAACAATTTAAAAAGTATGATTCAAACTTACCATTCATAATAACACTGTTTGAAATTGTTGTGTCCCTTGTCAGTTTATCTGCTACTATTCCTGAAAATATGGTTAAAACTAGGATAATAAGAGAATAAATACAGTACATGACTTGGCATACAGATTCCTCAATGCCGTGCGCCACCATCAGTGTCTTTATATACGTATACCCATACCGGCTATTTCTAATGTTTAGCCATTCACCTGGTGATTTATGGTCCCCGAAAGTGCCGAACTTCGTCCGACATATCGAGTTAGGTTAAATTGTCCAACGACGCGACAAACCTTGTGACGTCATGCTTTCAGCAGCTGAATCTAAATCCAGCTTCCTCAATAGGAGTATATGTGTACCGCGTCTAATGTTTGTTTTATAGTAAAACGTACAGTAACCTGTATTACGCAGTCAACCATACTATAGTCAATAACCCGGTCCAGCGTGAAAGGAATGTGATTTATATATAATATTCTACTATTGGACCTTTCAATATCTAGTTTACCATTAATGTGACCGACGTGGATAAAATTATGAGGCGAGGAAAATAAAAATAAATGACATTTTACTTAAAAGATATATATGTTTTCACATTAAATGATCGCATGTATATTCCTTATCAATTAATCACGGCAAAATGCGTCTGTTTTCGCGATCTCGGATTTTTTCGGTTTGCTAAAATGGTCTCTTTTTAGGGTCCAGGTCTAGTGGTCTATTACAAAATGATGTGGATTCATAAGGTTTTTATTTCGCGGAAAGTATTTTTGTTTTAAGACCTTTTTTCACAAGATTAAAAAATTGACCGATTAGGCAGCCATTTTGAAAGTGTGTATTTCTTGCGCTTCACGAAAGACCAAAATTACACCTTTTTTGACACTGGATTGCTCACTTAAATCGTCATTGTGTCGCCATTTTTAGTTGTAGCTAATTCGATTTTGATGTACAACTTAATAATGTTCAATAAAATAGAATAATATGCAACAAAATGGAAAACTATTATCTTTTAGGTATTTTTTAATTTTTTTTACATATTTAGTGTTACTGAAGCAATTTTGATTTTTTTTTTTACACCGAAATGGCAAAAAATAACACAAATAATATTGAGGGGAAAAAAAGAAGCACACTTGGAAGATATTGTATGAATTCGTCCTGCAAACGGTCAAAACATCAACATTCACTTAAAATCACATATTATGTCGAATTGGTATCTTTAACCAATCATAGCACAAAAACGAAAAACGGACATATAATTCTTTTTGCATTTTCTACTAAGTCATTAATTCCCTTTTCTAAAAATGCATATCAGGAAAAAAGTTTAATACATAAAAGTGATGACTTCTCAGAGGTGTACATCATTCAAGGCAAGTTTTCCTCAAAAGCTATTTGAAATAATGATATAGTAAACTTATTAATGAGTTGATGTTAGAAACACCTCCTGACTTTAAAAGGTGTATCGACTTCAGAAACTATAAATTTAACTCTAGATTATTTGAGAGGTAATGTGAATTTTGATAGTACTGAGATAAAAAAAAACACGTATGGAGTTAAGTAGTTAAAACACGTTATTCCAGTTAAACAGAAAATGCATGTGGACAAAAGAAGAGGAAGTCCCCAGGAATAAAACAGAACACAAAACAGGGACATTGTAAAAGGAACAATAAGTGAGGAACCATGACGACCCCAACCCTAGTGACCAACCTTGACGACCGCAACCCTAGTGACCAACCTTGACGACCCAAACCCTAGTGACCAACCTTGACGACCGCAACCCTAGTGACCAACCTTGACGGCCCAAACCCTAGTGACCAACTTTGACGGCCCAAACCCTAGTGAACAACCATGACGACCCCAACCCTAGTGACTAACCTTGACGATCCCAACCCTAGTGACCAACCATGACGCCCCAACCCTAGTGACCAACCTTGACGACCCAAACCCTAGTGAACAACATTGACGACCCAAACCCTAGTGAACAACCTTGACGATCCCAACCCTAGTGACCAACCTTGACGGCCCCAACCCTAGTGAGCAAAATTGAAGACCCCAACCCTAGTGACCAACCGTGACGACCCCAACCCTAGTGACCAACCATGACGACCCCAACCCTAGTGAACAACCATGACGGCCCCAACCCTAGTGAACAACCATGACGACCGCAACCCTAGTGAACAACCATGACGACCCCAACCCTAGTGACCAACCATCGAACAAGTGTAACTATAGTGTCACCTTGACGGCCCCAACCCTAGTGACCAAAATTGACGACCCCAACCCTAGTGACCAACCGTGACGACCCCAACCCTAGTGACCAACCTTGACGGCCCAAACCCTAGAGACCAACCTTGACGACCCAAACCCTACTGACCAACCTTGACGGCCCCAACCCTAGTGACCAACCTTGACGGCCCCAACCCTAGTGAACAACCATGACGACCGCAACCCTAGTGAACAACCATGACGACCCCAACCCTAGTGACCAACCTTGATGACCCCAACCCTAGTGAGCATATATACTGGGTCATTGTCGGCAAATGTCACGGTGTCAACAGTTGTGATTGAGTGTGCTAAAATAACTAAAAAACAACGAGGACCCAAACTCAAGTGCTATAATATACTGGTTCGAAGAGAGAAACAGTAATGATCCCAACTACCAAATACATATAAGTGTGGGGTCCAGCTATTAATTAAGTGTAAGTATAGTGTCAAGCTATCGAACAAGTGTAACTATAGTGTCAAGCTATCGAACAAGTGTAAGTATAGTGTCAAGCTATCGAACGAGTGTAAGTATAGTGTCAAGCTATCGAACAAGTGGAAGTATAGTGTCAAGCTATCGAACAAGTGTAAGTATGGTGTCAAGCTATCGAACAAGTGTAAGTATGTGTCTGACTGTCAAGTAAGTGTTAGTTCTGTGTCTGACTGTCAAATAAGTGTTAGTTCTGTGTCTAACGATCAAATAAGTGTTAGTTCGGTTTCTGACTGTCAAATAAGTGTTAGTACGGTGTCTGACTGTCAAATAAGTGTAAGTACGGTGTCAAACTATAGTCTAAATGTAAGTATTGTGTCTGACTGTCAAATAAGTGTAAGTACGGTATCAAACTATGGTATAAGTGTAAGTATTGTGTCTGACTGTCAAATAAGTGTTAGTACGGTGTCTGACTGTCAAGTAAGTGTTAGTACGGTGTCTGACTGTCAAATGAGTGTAAGTTCGGTGTCTAACGATCAAATAAGTGTTAGTACGGTGTCTAAATGTCAAATAAGTGTTAGTACGGTGTCTGAATGTCAAATAAGTGTTAGTTCTGTGTCTGACTGTCAAATAAGTGTTAGTATGGTGTCTTACTGTCAAATAAGTGTTAGTACGGTGTCTGATTGTCAAGTAAGTGTTAGTACGGTGTCTGACTGTCAATTAAGTGTTAGTACGGTGTCTGACTGTAAAATAGTGTTGGTACGGTGTCTGACTGTCAAATAAGTGTTAGTATGGTGTCTTACTGTCAAATAAGTGTTAGTACGGTGTCTGACTGTCTAATAAGTGTTAGTACGGTGTCTGACTGTCAATTAAGTGTTAGTTCGGTGTCTGACTGTCAAATGAGTGTTGGTACGGGGTCTGACTGTCAAATAAGTGTTAGTACGGTGTCTGACTGTCAAATGAGTGTTGGTACGGTGTCTGACTGTCAAATAAGTGTTAGTATGGTGTCTTACTGTCAAATAAGTGTTAGTACAGTGTCTGACTGTCAAATAAGTGTTAGTACGGTGTCTGACTGTCAAATAAGTGTTAGTACGGTGTCTGACTGTCAAATAAGTGTTAGTACGGTGTCTGACTGTCAAATAAGTGTTAGTACGGTGTCTGACTGTCAAATAAGTGTTAGTACGGTGTCTGACTGTCAAATAAGTGTTAGTACGGTGTCTGACTGTCAAATAAGTGTTAGTACGGTGTCTGACTGTCAAATAAGTGTTAGTTCTGTGTCTGACTGTCAAATAAGTGTTAGTACGGTGTCTGACTGTCAAATAAGTGTTAGTACTGTGTCCGACTGTCAAAAAAGTGATAGTACGGTGTCTTACTGTCAAATAAGTGCAAGTACGGTGTCTGACTGTCAAATAAGTGTTAGTACGGTGTCTGACTGTCAAAAAAGTGTTAGTTCTGTGTCTGACTACCTAATAAGTGTAAGTATGGTGTCTAACCAATAAAAAGTGGTAAGAATTGTGTCCGATTATCGAATAACTGCAAGCTTAGTGTCTCATAACAAACAAATTCAAATTACTAAACAACTTTAAGTAACAGTACGGGCTACCGCGCCAATTTAATGTACTTAACTGTGTTTGACATAGTATACGGTAGAGTAAAAGTGAACAATTATCAAATGATAGCATTGACCTGTATCCTAAAAATATAGCTCTTCTTTTAATTATTGGCATTATTGTTTAATAAAAATAGATTAATGTTTTGTATTGACTGAAGTAGCTTCCACATAAATCAGTTCGGTTTTATTGTGTTAGTTCGAACAGCTTTACATGAGATAAATACACCGGTAACCGCCAAATACCTCTCAGAATTAACACCGATCGAACAACCCAAAATAAACATCCCAGTTTAGCCCAAGTTACTGTCCATCATACTGTCGTATTTAGCTTTACAATAATAAACGTAGATGTATTTTTGTGATAAAGCCACAATGTCATTGTATTTTTGGCAAAACATTGAGTTTAAATAGCATCAGCCCTTTTCCACGAAATTCCACGACACTGGTTTATTGATAAATTTCTTAGTCCTTGATATATATCTAAATTGAAATCAATTTGTAGTGCCGAACCCTTCGGGACAATTTGTAAACACATTGTTTGCTTCAAATAACATTACATGTAGCTTTTGTTCGTAGAGGTTTAGGGCAGTAGGCCCTGTACAGAATCATTGTAAGGTACGATACATTTAACAAATGTTCTGGTATAATTGGTCCTAAAGCTGAGATATCATTAATAATTTGACAATTAATATTTGCTATTTCACTTTAAAATATTGTGACTTTTGAGATATTTCGCACGACCTTTAAAGGTATTGTGACAGTGTCGAGACTCC